TTGTAGGATTGATTTGTGTAGGATGGTTGCTTTTATGATTAATTTACGACCTGTTACTTTTCTTACAGAATAATTAAAAGTTCTAATAATTGAACGCGAGACTTCTCTGAATACCTGCGTTCTTCCAAGAGCTAACTTTTACTCTTTTCCATCCATTCGAAAATGAATGTTAATTTAGTGATTTTAATTGTGATGAGTTGCATTTTTTTGGTAGTTGATACGAAACAGAACATATGCAAGACGCAATCAGTGAATAAAACCTACAGACTGATTTGCAAAAATGTGGATAACTTTTATACTATTAAAAAGTTAACCGATTTGGAATCAGAAGTTTTCGATCAAGTGCTTGTCCAATGCAAAGGGAGAAAAAAATGGCAAATGTCATATTTATTTGATAATATATTTTTTAATACCAGGATACATTACATAAATATGAGATGCCCCTTACTAAGTATCGGAGACAATGCCTTCGCCCGAACTCATTTACTGTCTAAACTACATCTTTCTAACACTAAATTTCATAGAATTCCAAGTGCTATTCGTAACACCAAGACTTTGAAAACACTTGAAATTGAAGACGGTCAATTAACTGAGGTTACAACTGAACTTCAATCAATGTTTGAACTTGTAAACCTCTCATTGACTCAAAACAGAATAAGTTCACTATTGAGCAGTGCTTTCTTGGGTGATCTGAAACTCCAATCAATTATTCTAACGAGCAATAAGTTGAGTAGTTTAGATAATAAAACATTTGATCCGTGCCCAAGTTTACAATTGGTTAAATTGGACAAGAACAATCTCATAACAGTTGATGGTCTATTTCAAAATCCAAGTTTGATGGTAATTTTTACTATATATTTTTATATTTTTTCTTCTGCCTTTAACAATTATTTCGATGAGGAATGTAATGAAACCCGCTATGTCTCATGGTTAAAGCAATGAGTTGTGATTATGAGGTATTGAGGTTCCATTCCCTGTAGTGGCTTGAAGTTCACACCTAGTTTCAGATCGAATTTTCGGTATCAGATTGACTGGGAAGTAAAAACAGTCAGTACGCAATGCTGTCCTCATTGCCACTATGATATCTTTGGTCACGAAATTGTAAATATTAAACATTCATAATCCTCCAAGTATACAACAGACTGTTGTTGTTATTGTTTGTTTTATTAAGAGTTAACAATCAGAAATTTCCGAAAACGTGTTCAACCGCATAGTGCATTTTCCCTTTAAAAGCTAAAGCACATAATTAACTGATTATCTTCTTATCAAGGAAGTATTTCAACAATCCATTCTTATATAGTTGACTAAAGGCAAGAGGTAAAGTTTTACTCAAAAATGTTTCCTTTGAATATTTAGAATAGCGATTCCATGCATAGTAAGCAAAATTTTTAAAACGGTGTAAAAATTTGGATATCTTACGATTTAAAACATTTTCAAATCATGTTAAATAAAGTATTAAAAAATAATTAATATCTATAGAAAATTATTTTCACATCTTTTGATAATCGAATTTTATAAGTAAATTTTATAATTGTGTGCTATAACATTTAGCTTTAAAGAAAATCCAGTTTCAAAAGATTCATAATAGCTAGATTCACTTTAAAAATTCCTAGACATTTAACAATACGCATAATATATAAAATATACATTGAGAGGCTAAACTTTTAACAATTTTTCTATCTAAAATATTTGGGACCCTATTTTGCGAACTGCTGTTGTCCACAATATTTTGATAAACAAAACTCCGAATCCATCCCAGTAAAATGAATGTTTTTTTAGAGAAAGTACGAATTTGAGTACGATTCTGTAACTAAATTAATAGTTAGCACTAATTAATCAGAATATATGAGATCATCTCTCAAAACGTTTAAGATTGCTCCTTAGTTTGTGATCATTAAAAAACCATTAATTCTAGGTAATATCTGTTTTTCTTTTTTGCTCATTATACTAAAGAACTAATTACCGAGAGGAATTTTCTTTCCAATAAAATCCTCTTGAAATATTAGGGGGACTGGAAAGTAATGTCATTTCGGCGCATTAAATATTCGTTAGTCTTAAAAACCACTTCATTTTTTTCCATCCATTTCAATTAATTTTCGATCCGGCATTAAAAGGTTGTTGCTGACGAGAATGAATACATTATTGATTAAGAGTAAAATCCTGATAAGAAATATCAAATGCAACGAAGCGACATTACTTTCCGGTCCACCTAATATTTAAATTATTGATAAAATTTTATCATTGAACATACCTCAAGAAAGAAAGTTTATATATTTATGAATGATCCCTGTGAGCAGCAGCATCCAATACAAGCTACTTTGAATCAATTCCCATTTATATCTGATGCATCCACAACACCCGATTCCCGACTATAGGATCAAAGACTCTTATCCTATCAATGAGTATTCCCAGAAGTTCCCTGTCAACTTTAGGAACTTGGTGAGTGCACGGAGGTATAAAATTAGTAATAAAAACCATTGCTGCCAACTACTACTGATTTTCCTGAAGTTTTTGTTTCTATTTGTCTAAGGACGGCCTTAACCCCTTGGGGACGGGTGATTCAGAAAAGCATTCGTACAAAATCAGAATCAAGTTGCAATTAAATAAAAAACGGTAACTTAAATGTAGTCGTTACTAATTTGACAGACTTACTTTGCTTTTATTTTAATTATTGTTAGTTTAATCATATATATAATCAATGTTAATTCAAAGTATAACTAAATAGTTTTATTTTGAACAAAGTAATGGTGAATTAAATAAATCAAAAAATTATAACTCCGCCCACAAATAAACTGCTAAAGAAATACTTTGATTACCAGTTTTATCTTCTTACCCTGATTGATACGGTTTTTTGCTGTCACATATTTGTGACAGTCGGCGCGAAAGGGTTAAAACGCAATTCATTGTTTTAGTTCATGCTGTAAATTCTTTAACTCAGCGGTTCTCAAATGGTGTTTCGCGGAACCCTAGGGTTCCGTTGAAGAGTTAATGGTGTTCCGCTAGCTAGCGCTTTTATAACCATCAGTAATGTTCTAAAACATCAGATTATATTTAGATCCAAATTTTAATTAATAATTTATTTAATGTTTCGGTTTCCGTAATAAAAAATATAAATGACAATTTTAAAAGAAAATATGATATTTCCAATAACAATATATTGAAGAAAATATGAAAAGAACAAGCAATTAGAGAATATTGCATTGGTATTTCCTATCGCGTTTTTCAAATCCAAATAAAATAGCTAATATCTTTAATAATGAAATATGTTTCCCTAATAACCATTTTCAACGCAGTTCTTTTTAAGTTTTTATTTTGAAGTAAACCGTAATTTTTCTTTTTTCTTTTTTAATTCATTTTCAACAAATGTATACACGCCGAATACTAATTCCTAACTTGACTAAATACAGCACAAGGACAGCAAATTCAACTGTCGGACATGAAATATAATTTAAGATTATTGATAACAAGACAATTAAAAATCTTCATAACTCTAACTACTTTAGTCTTTTATAGGTTATAATGTTTAAAATTACTTTAATAAACTTCATTTATATAATCTGCCAAAAGAAGATTGATTATTTAGGGTTCTAAAGCAGGAAGAATTTGAGAACTACTGCGACAACAAATGAATATTTAACTAATTACGTACTTTTTTTTTACAGAGCATCAATTTGAGCTTTAATGCATTGTCAACCATACCCGAAAATCTTTTCAACAATTTGGAAAATTTGATGGTTATTAATCTTGAAGGCAATTTCATAAGGAGCATTGGAAACTGTTTTGCTCAAAATTATCGTTTGGAGTACATCAATTTAAGTAATAACATGATTAAATCTTGCAATAACACTTTTCACTCATTGCAGTCATTGAAGACTATTGATTTGCGAGATAACTCCCTTTCTAGTATAACACGAAATCATTTTTCATCACTACCGTTGCTTGAAGAATTGATAATCAGTCAGAATAATATTTCCCAGATTGATTCGGAAGCATTTTCTCAGCTGGAAGGATTAAAAAAGATTGATTTGTCTCGCAACAGACTAACAACTTTGTCAAGAGAATCGTTTCCTAGAGCCTTAAAGATTCAACAAATAATTACAACTGGTAAGCATATTTTTTCTCTTTCAATTAGTATCAGAAAATTCGAAAAGAAATTTCTCAACCGCAACGAGTGCATGCTTGGTCATCCAACTTCAATATTTAATTCAAGGTTAATGTTCAACGTCATTCAATTCCAGAATGTATACATGGACATACATGTATATGCGTATGTTATTTACTTAAGTATATACGTGTATACAAGTATATACGTATATACATGTACATATTTTTTACAGATGGTAGCGGGGACGACCGGAGTCGTACTGGAAGTGGAGTCTACATCCAGAGACCTGATGGCGATATCAACATTTAAATGAGAAACCCGGATTCGTGTTCTGTTTCCTGATCGGAGCTTCTTGCTATTGAGGCAGGACTGCATGCAATTGAAGAGGATTCGCTGCTAGACCCTATCTGGATCCTAACGGATAGTAGAAGATCTATCCAATATTTGAGTGCATGGCCCAGAGTGAGCGATAGGGCTGGAACGGCAATCTTGCAACTTCTCAGTAATCTTTCTGTGAAACGGGTTATTTATTTGCAGTGGATTCCGTCCCACGTTGGTCTGTACGGGAATGAGATCTCGGACTCGCTGGCAAAACTTGACACAAACGAGCTTCTGCCGGAAAGTTTGACACTCACATCCTCGGAAATTCACTCCATTAGAAAGAAAAGTGTCCAGCTAGTCTGGAATTCTCCCCCAGTACATTTCTGGTACTCTGGGGATAAGTGGGGATAAGCCGGGTCGTGCTTTGACCTTCAGAGGTAATAGAGGTGATCAGACCGAGTTCACTAGATTCATCAGTGACCACATAAAGTGCATAAGGTATGAACAGCAGCGAAAGGTCTATCCCACCTGCAACAAATGTTTCTCCACTGCAGCCAGCCCGGCCCACCTCCTTAGCTGTGTGGATTTTGGAAAAAAAAGGATTTTCTGCGTGACCCGGTTTTGTTTTTTGATTTCCTGAGTGTGAGTGGACTCATGGACCTGGTCTAGCGGAGCTAGACCAGTGGGGATGAGAAGCAACAACAACGTATATTATGTATCTCAAAACATCGACATGTTTTATTCTTGCTAGGTTACAAGTAACCTAAAAGTACGATATACAAATAACTTTACAAACTTCTGTCTTCCTTTCCCACTTTTCTTAATATTCTGCCAAAAGCGATAATAAAGCGATTTCTTAGTAGCAAAAATTCATCACTACTTACTTTTTCTCGGATCCAAGACGTCCAGTAGATTCTTAAATCTAAAGTAGTGATAAATTTGCATCATAAATAAGTATTTCATATTTTTAAAAATTTAACATTCCTGATCACCTCAATAATTTGATTATTCAAGCACATATTAAAAGTTATGGGACGGATGTAGTTTGAATTTCCCCGTCCACCTATCATATCTGCTCTTGTAACTTTTTTTCACACCTCCACTCTGGTGAATGCAGCGTTGCCACGGGTGAGTACAAATACAAAATGTGGTGACTAATAAAATTCAAAACTTCATTAAAATAAACAACTTTTTTTTAAAAAAATTTTTAGATTACTATTGAAACTAATTGCAAAGAATGATTTTGCTTTAAATATTAATAATTTAAAATATATGAATCGAAGTTAGGATTGAATAATTAAAAAAAATAATAATCCTCTAAAAAATTGTGATCTCCGAATCACAGGTTGCCCATAGGCAAAATGGTTGTTGTCTAATTTTTATTTAAAAATTATGAAAAATGCCTCAATTCATTTTCATGATCTAAGTAGCCTTGTGAAGAGCGGGCTTTTCGCATGCGTTGAGCACGCTGTCTTTCCGTTTGTCTGTTCCGTTTGCTTTCATGTTTTTGGTTCTAAACACCTGTAACTTGAGCAGTATTATTCAAGTCTGTGAGGTGGCG